GGACATTGTATTTCTTGGAATGTGCTACGTTGAGTCCGCTGGCTCCAAAAATGTCTTCCTGCAATTAGTCTAAATTTTGATTTACACGTTCAAAACGAAAGTAATTTTCGTGATATAACGTCAACAATCTTGACATCACTTTAAGTATGATTTATTTCTATTGAATACAAAACGAAAACAGTTGATTGGTGGCATCGGGTACAATTATATTTATGTATAATTTAAATTTAAAATGCAATGATTCCAGTATGAATAAAATGTCCCTTGGTGTCGTTGGCCCAAATTATGTCAATGGTACTTGAATGGCATTGGAGGAGGATATTAGACATTGTATCTTCTAACTCGGGGTCATCGTTTGTGATTGATTTCCTTGTGACGGGTGTATGTGTTTTTTTCTTGCTGTGTTCTGTAGTTTTGGTATGTCCCCTTTGGCACTTGTGAAGATAACATCTAATTTTGACAAACTGCAAGGTAACCTCTCACGACAATAAACTGATCTCAAGTTTTCAAAATACAGAATAGAATAGTCTAAGATCTAGAGAATACCATGGTCACTTGCAGTAGTCAAGTATAGGTCTAGTTTTTTTACAGGGTGTTCCAAAACACTATACTAAGGCAAATAAATATGATGAAGGAATATTCTTGAAAGTTTGTCACCAGGCAGACAATTTAGTAAAAAATAAATCGGTATCAAAAACTGATGGATTGTGGAAAGAAACCGGTGGCAGTTTTAATTGTCCATAGTGAAGAGTATAACAATGTTAAAAAATAAATATGCACGTGCATATATTGTGTTATTGATATAATAAAATATGCTGATATCATTAAAATAATATAAACAATATACCTGTAGCCCATCTTAGAATCTTTGTGTCTGTAAACATTCCGTTACACGATTCATTTTTCTTTACAGACTAGCCTCGTACATTCTTCATTCTGTTGATCATTTAAGCCTTATTAACGATACCATGAGTATTGTCGCAGAGCACAACGTTCTAAATGAATACGTTGACGGTTTTGTCAAAAGCGGTCAAATAATTCAAAAGAGGCTTTTCAAAATTACTACAAAAGGCCAAATACTTCTAAAAGAAGAAGAGTCGTGGAAACATCGAGTCCAAGCAAACCCAAACCTTGTTATATTTCAACATATTCATCAAAATATTAAACCTTCTTTCGCATGGCAAATAGGTCTTAAGTTTCCAAAATACATGTGGTTACATGGTAACCCAATTAGCCTGGCCGCAGATCCAAGTTATAAAATATATTGTTGTAACAGTTGCCACAAGTTGTGTGAATGTATCATTGTGAATTATATTATTTGCAGTGTGGGTATTTTTCAATGCATAGGAACATCTTCTTTGAAAAACTCATCGACCATCTACCTATAAATGTGGGTGTAAACCTGTTTAACCTCACTGATGAAAAACACACATTTTTCTAGGCAGTAGGTCAGAGCTATTCATGGATGATTTGATGTTTGAGCCATTCATAATAATGTGTAGCATAAGCCTGTTTGACATAAATGGTTTCTCCAGGTTTGATTCACAAGATTCCACGAGTCTTGGGGAGTAATACTAAACAAATACTGGATGACCATGAGGTGGATATGCCAGAATACCTATCCGAGGAAAAAATACTAGGCGAAGCGAAGCTGAGCCTAGTATTTCTTTTCGGAGGATAGGTATTCTGGCATATCCACCTCATGGTCATCCAGTATTTATTTTATTATGCACCTCCCCTCAAAACCCTGGTGTTCGACAATCAAAAATTCCATTTATTCTCTCATTTGGCCTTATTCTTACGTATTCCCTCCATATATAATAAGTTTGGCCGATCCCGTATCTAGCGCCACCTACCTTTTGTCAGTTAATCACAGGAAATTGAATAGAAATCCCCTTCTCTCATATCACGCAAATCTTTTCTCCCTCGCATTCATCTCAAATTCAACATGGAAGAGATTCTAAGAAAATGACGTCATCGACAATTGGACTCGTCGAAAGTATTTTTCCGAGGATAGGTATTCTGGTATACGGGATGGTTGGAGATCTCGTTGCTTCAATACTGGATAGAACGAGATCTTGCTGCCACGTATGGCAATAGACCCCGCAGCTCTTAACCAATCAGATTTGAGTATTTTAATGAGGTGCATAATAATTGAATATACCTTCATCCTAAACAATGTAAACGCAAAATCTGAGGAACATGCTTCTGTAAATATTGTGTATCTCTTTTTTATACTTTTAATCTTTGTAAATTATATCATTTAATTTGATGTACATTTTTATGCTCTCCTTAAAGTCTCCGTCTGAAGTTTGAAAATATGTTTTTATCATTCATTTACTATTTGTCATGACTTAAAAAGTTATTTTAGAGATTTTTGAAAAAAAGTTGTAAGCATTTCATTTCTCAAATATTCAAATTTCCCGCCATTTTTCCAAAAAAGTTGAAATTTTTTAATCATCAAATATTTCTTAATACATTTCAAAAAAGATCATCTTTTTAACACCAATGCAAAGATTGAACAAAAGACACACTATTTCAATAATAAAATGCCATATTTAATGGGCCCCACTTCAATGTTTTAGCATATCAAAACTATTTTGAAACATTAGTGATGTCACTACTTAGGTGGCTACCCTTTGCATTCGTTTGACTTCACTTCTTAAAAGAGAGCTTCGTCTTCACTCTTTCAAACTAAAATAAACCTGTGAACTCACCGCGCCAATCAGTGTTCGTCGGCCAAATTTGACCGACGTTCTATATATGGTCAGTCCTTCTGACGTCGTCGTTGAGCCCGGAATTGACCAATGACACGCGCATATTTAATTAGAACGCATTTGGCGTATGTTTCTTCAAGCTCGCTGATTGGTGGAAGAAAGGTCAGCGCGTAGGTCAAAAGTGATTTATTACCCAAACTGTCACCGGTACCCGTCGTGGGGGTGGGGCTACTAAACTGTAATATAGTCTCTACTAGGCAGAGTGTAGTTTAACTAGACTCTGCACGCAGGGTATTAGGTGGCCAAAACTTTTTGAGAAAATTGAAATTTATTTTAGATGTCAATCTTTTCTAAATATGCTAGACTTTAATAAGAAACCAATGTTGAATGTCTAACCAGGTTAAAAGGAAGAATATATTATGTTTTAGATATCATTGTACCATTGGTTTCTATGAGAACTAATGCATTTTTCTCGGAACCATTTTCATACACTGATAAGTTCATAACTCGCTTATTTATGAACCGATTTTCTTTCGGCAAAAAACATCAGAGGATGAATGCTTTGAATTGGTATGAATTGTGGCTAATTAAAAGATATTTGTGACCTCTAAAAATTAGTTTTTAATAAATTCACAAATTTTGGAACAAAAAGTCTATCAAAAACCACTTTTTGAAATTCAAAAAAAAGTTTCACATATCACACTTTGATAACATTGGGTAACACTACAATATAAGCCAAAGTGGTTTAAACTTTATATTTATATAAACATAAATATCGATTTAAAACTGAGATTCCCAGAGAAAGTGTGTCAACATGTATTAGGAGTGTCAATCAAACAACAATCTGTTCATATCATCTGATCTACCAAGCATGGTCGGGTACCTCATCACCCTTTCTGTCATGGGAGCTATCTACTGGGCATATCCGTCTTTCTGATCTGCAGCATGTGTACAGGTGTCAGATACCCCAATTATTACGTAATACTTTGTTACGTGACACATGATCCTAGCTTGAGAACGAACGTGAGTTTGAATGCTATTGATACATGTTTAGTTAGCATCATGTATCAAGTGCCGCCCCAAGGCAAGGGTGTTAGCAAGCAGTGTCCATACACAGGCGGACCACCGCCTCCCCGCCTCTTACACCATCATTCTTTTTTCTCTTTGATAAGTATGACATTTCTAGGGAGTCTCCAACGAGATATGGAAATGTATTGGATGGTATGGTTTTTAGGCATTTACGCTCATTAATTATCCCAACGAACGAAGTTCGGTAGGGATATAGTGAAGCCCTCAAGTCCGTCCGTCTGTCCGTCCGTCAGTCCGTCAGTCAGTCAGTCAGTCCGCCCGTCTGTCCGGAAGATAACTCAAATACTAGTAGATGGATTTTCTTCATATTAAGTGGAATAATATATGTATATTGGTGAATAGTTTTACGCAAAAAAGTTTTTCAAGATGGCCGCCGCTTTAAAAATGACGGGACTTTTTCGCAAAAATCATAAATTTTTCATTCTAAACCAAAGCAATTAATATTATTGTTTGAAATTTTGGTAGTATATTCACAACATTTATCTATTTCACATATATTCCGTGTTTTTCATCCTGACCCCCAGGGGCCGTGTATGGGGGGACAGGAAAACAGAAATTTTCGCTAATTTTTAGATCTTTCTGAAGTATAGCTTTATTATA